AAATTTTTGAGATAAATATAATCGTAGATTATACGAATAATAAAATAATGATAAATTAAAAGATTTAGTAAAACTTTAAAAGCATTTCTTTTGGTATATTTAACGTAATAATTAAAACCGATTTCAAACTTTATCTGGAGAAAAAGTTACTTTTATACAATATAATTATTTATTTTAACAAAATTTTCTACTGAAAAAGCTTTTACTAATGTGTAACTTTTAAAAAATGATTTAACTTTATTCTATGCACATACTAATTTACCTATTACATAAGAATACAGACATTACATTTTAAGAATTTATAAAAATGCAACTTTGACAAACTATTACAAATTAAATTTCATATCACATCAAAGGTTATTACATCAAACAAAACATCAATGCAAATGAAATTATCTTACATACAACTACGTCATAATTTGTATATAAAAAAAAAAAAAAAAAAAAAAAGATTGAAAAAAGAAAAAAAATTGTTAGGATAGCAGCTTAGCTGTAGATAAATTATTTTTATGATTTACTTCTTTGATAAATCATTTTTCGTAAATAAATAAATGTAAATACAAAATCGTTAAATTATCGATGCAAACAGTTCGAAATACCCCGAAAGAAGTTTCCCAATATGCCAATATATTTTACATATACGTTAATTATTTTCATATCATATTTATTTATTTTATTTTATGTATTTATTTTATTTATTTATTTTATTATTATTTTTTTTTTTTAATCACATTTTCACACAGTACTCGAAGAACGCAATAACTAATACCCAGAGAGTTGAACGAATAACACAAACTATCATACGCTCTGGAATTCTCTTCACTGCCTGTTCCGGTCAAATGTGCTCTAAATGCTCAATGCACAAACTTTTAAATAGCTCAGTCGCCCATACGTAGACGTCATTACAATGAAAAGTATGCCCTCTCGGTCAAAAGGAAGGTGTACTCACCGAGTGACTTCGCATCGCTCTTACCCAACGATTCACCGAGGCTTTTTCGTATATTTCCTATCAACCGAACCGCTATCGTCGTTATCGTCGTTTCTCCACTGTCGCGATGGTGACACTCACATGATCTCACATCTCACATACACAAATATCGATCGACTAATGAGCGCCGATTGAATTTGCATTCGCACTACGGCGCATGAGACAACGATTTTGCTTATATATCGGCACGAGCGCGGAAACTTTTAAGTAATAATAATCATAATAATATATATTGTATAGTGCACTCAACAAGTCCTACTGCGAATCCTTTTACGAATGTCATTTTTAAGAATTTATAGAAACGGATTTTCATAAAGATATCTTATTATTAAATTGGAACTTTGATTAGCATTTTTCCAACTGTGCCCTACGCTTACATGTATATCCTAGCCTACGAAACTGCCATCGTAAATCTCAGAATAATTACCAATATACGATCACATTAATTAACTAACCGCGGTAGGATATTGTACAGTTAGAAAAACAAGAACCAATAAAGAGACTTATGGAAGCCGTGACTGCGAATTTATAGGACATGATAAAATAAAGAGAACCGGTTGTCATAGTCATAAGCTTTCAGGTGGTAAATCGTCCTGTCTCGCTCACACTTTGGATATACTTATTAATATATATATATATGTTATTGATAAATGGGACCTAACGTGACGATTTCCATAAGAGATAAAAATAACCAATCAGTTTTTTTTATTCTTTACTATTCATATTCACAAGTCATTAATTATTTTATAATTATCGATTATTAGTCGCGAAGTAAAAATTATAGTCAATTTTGTGACTAATCAGTTTGAAGTAAAATTATAATTATATTTTTTATACGTACATTTCAAAATTTTCTTTGTTCTAACGATTTTAACTAACCAACAACTTTTTAAGCTTTATAATTTCTACATCTATTTCTCTCATAATATATCCATAAAATATTTGTTTTAAGTACAAGTTATCAAAAGTTATTGAATAATAAGACAAGTCATTAACTGTTGTATTAATTATTAAGAAGTACCAGGCTATGTTTATAAAAAAAAAAAAAAAAAAAAACAACAAAAAAAAAACCCTTAGCATTAGCCCGTGATCAATTTTTAAAAAATATTGATTAATATAAATGATTGTGTGTTTGGATGAAAATAATTGACACGGTTAATGGAACAATAATCTTAGGTGGCCTGCAAATCTTTCTTTGTACTGAGCAGATTTTTACGGCGTGATGATTGCTTATATAATTGTATAAATGGATTATTTCTGTATATAACGCTTTGCACCTCGACTGTAGTACATTTATATTCAATATACGTTGTTTGAAGATATAGAAATAGATATAGAAATATAACAAAGACATTTGTCGCCACTACAGCTAAGTTTTAAATAAAGAATATAAATAACTAAAGAAGACGATATACATTATAATATATTTCAAATTGAATGTAAATCATGATTTTGCGATAAATTTTATTCATAACTTTTTCCACTTCAATTGAACGAAAGAGAAAGACGATGATTAAGCTTACATTTTGATTATTCAATTTAAAATGCAGCATCTTCTTATAAGCGCAGTATGTGCATGTGTATAAATTTCAGTAAAAACGTGCTAAATTAAAAATATTTCCAATTATACAAGCGATGAAATACATTACCAGTTCAATTAATTTTTTTAAAAGGTGTTTAACTTCAAAGTACAATAAATGAATCATTCGCTATATCAAACGTGGATTACACATGTAATTTCTCAATGTATAATGAACTTTCAAATATACGTATATGAATTGAAAATCTTAACAAAACTATAATATAAAATGAAATATATAATATAAAGTAATAATTTATCTTATTAGAATAATCAATCTCTTATTGTTTTAAGATTTTTTCATAAATTTTAAGTATTATAAATAATAGTAAAAAGGTTTATCCACTATGTGTTTGAACGAGTACATAATGTGCAGATATAAAAGGCAATGAAAAAAATTAAAAAAACAACAAAATTTTTCTTCGAATTCGTTGTTATCTCTTGTTAAAAGTATACCTTCAATTAGAGTATTATATATGTGAACACATGTGTACTTTTTATGTTTGTTTTGGCACGTGATTATGTCCTTTACGAGTAAATATAGATATTCGGCTTATTACATAAAGTATAAATTTAGAAGCATACGATTAAAAAAAAAAAAAAAAAATGATAATTCAATGAAAGAAATGGCTTTTATAGACTATTGAAATTTAATTATCAAAAAATCAAAGATATATAAAGTAATGATTAAATTTCTTAGATACAAAGCTAAAAAATTTAATATTATACTTATTTCATGTTTAAATATCTATTTATTTTGAAATTGTTACTGCATATTAATTATTTCAATCGTATACGTATATCAATATTTCAATAATATTTAAAAACAAAAACAAAAGAAGAAAAAAAAACAAAAAATATTCAAATATAAAATTATTTTCCTGTTTTTTCTTAAAGTCATTTACAAGTTTTTACAATGAAAATATTTGCGCAATATGCGAACGTAAAGTTTTTAGAGATATTTGTTATTATTGTAATAAAATTATGTAATAAGTTGAAGGGATATTATAACATTTCTAAAATTCCTAAAATTTCTAAAACATTTCTATATTAATGTTCTCAAAACCTTCAGTCTTAAATTAAATAAATGATATTATTATAAAGTAAAAAAATCTATCGCAAAATGTTTAAAGCAAACAAAGATGCAAGTTTTTAAAAAATAAGTAAATTTAAATAGATAATTTTATAGAAGATATTTCTTAGTATCTTTATTTTTTTTCCATTTATAATTTATTTATTATCACCCGATAAGCGTGTTCACGAATTAGAAAGCGATCTGTTGTTCGTTTATACTAACAGTCAATTTGAGAATTCGAAATTTTTATTAAAACGATTATACTTTTAGTAGACGTTAAATACTTTCATTGCCAAATCTTTCGCTAGTCAATCATTTATCAGTACGTTAGATTTTTCAATATTACAAAAAGATTTCATTCACCAATCATTATCAATGTATCGAACAAGAGAAATAATCCCTTGGTAGTTTAACTTGCTCATTAAATGCAGATATTACTAAACGAAAGCTTACAATTCAAGTGCTTTTTTTAAAAAATATATATAACTTTCCGCATAAAATTAATCAAAATAATGATCTGCGAGTGCAAAATAGTAATATTCCACGATCACTTGATAAACGTCAAAAATGCTATGAACCGTAATTGCGAGGAAATTAAATTTAGAACGTTTTTAAATACAAGTCCCATTGCCAACTTTAAAGCATATAATTTATATAAAATTAAAAACTATAGTACTAATAAAATACAGGCACAATTGCCGTATACAATGGCATTTGAAAATCTAATAGGAAGAAAGAAGCTTGTACGTAAAAATCATCGATTAAAATCGTACAACGAGATACAAATAACTGCGGCTCTACTTTCAATGCATCCAAGACGCCTCTTGGAACCATAAGGCACCCACCAGCCACCAGCAAGTGGTCTCATATTCTATTTTCATGCACATTATCGGCTCCATCGGCAATCGAAGACATACCAGTAGCTTAATATTCGGGTCCAGAGCTTCTAGAGCTCGGCTCCCACCACCGACACGGATTCCTGGTCCCACGCCCCGCCCGTCACAACGGCAGACTAAGGGCTGGATGGCCGAAGGAACTGGCGGCGAATAACCGCCACTGCAACCCGGGAAATTCGAGATGCCTGGAGGAGGCTCTTTCTCGCGCGCGTCGTTTTATCTCGTTGGCGCCGTAGCTGTAGCCGCAGCCGCCGCAGCCGCAGTCGCCGTTTCTGCTGCCACCGACGCCACCACCGCCGTCGCCGCCACCGCCGCAGCCGCAGCCGCAGCCGTAGCCGCAGCCGCAGCCGCCGCAGCCGCCGCCGCCGCCGCCGCCGTAACGACACCCGGGAGGGGGAGGACAAGTGAGCGAGGCGCGAGACTAGAGAGGCGGCGTCGACGCGCCAGCGATTTTATTGCATCGATGCCGTCGTCGCCGCCAAGTCGACGGAGTGCTGCCACTCGCGGAGTGCCACGGACCGAATGTGTATCGGGCTTTGGGCGCGGGTGCGCGGGGGGTAGTTTCGAGTGCGGCCTGGCCAAGTCCACGGGGATGTTCGGCTTGCGAGTCGATTGTCACTGAGTCGACAGATCCCGGTGTTCCCTTCGAAAGAGGAGGATTTATCCGCTCGAGGTAAGATTAGCAAGAGATTGGCGAGAGATTGGCGAGAAATTGGAGAGAGATTGGAGAGAGATTGGAGAGATATTGGAGAGAGATTTGAGAGATATTTGAGAGATATTGGAGAGATATTGGAGAGAGAGAGAGAGAGAGAGAGAGAGAGAGAGAGAGATTGACCATTTGGCGCCGGTCAAAAAGTCGGGCCTATAGATTAAGCGCGAACGCTCGGATGTCCGGGGTAAAGGAGGCATTTTGGACGTCGTGGCTTCACTGCTGCAGCTGCAAATTTCTGCCTATCGATAAGGAGGCGGGAACTACAGGCACTTTCTTGGGGGGGGGGGGGGGGGGGGGGGGGGGGGGGGGGGGGAGAAGCTGCACTTGTGTAATCGATCAGCGAGCGTTTTAACGGTGATTGCTGTATGAGTGATCGCGATCGAAGTGGTGACAGTCTTAACGTTATAAGCGTTTGCAATTGGATAAAACTTGGCCGGGATCGGATGAAACCCCTGAGTAATGCGCATTAGAAGATAATTAATTTCAACTTGGATAGGAAATTGCATTAAAAGGCAAAGTGTAGGTTCTAAAATTTATGAGACTGACGACTGGCTGGTCAACAGTACTTCATTATAATGAAATAAAATCTATCTTATCCGACAGATTCGAAAGAAATCAAATTCGATTAGTTTTTCATTCCTTTACAAATGCTTTGACATCACGGATGGTTTTTCTATGACTTATTTCATTATTCTAAATGATTATTATTATGCCGTGCTTTATGTATAATATCGAATAATATTTACATGGATGCCGATAAAATATAATGATTTCTAATGACAAGCAGGTAGGTAGGTCACATTCGTCAAAATGCGTTCGACCATTTAACTGCTCTGTTAACTAAAGAATCATTTAGAATTATCTCCGCTTCATTAAACGTCCATCCTTATAAAATAATGTCATATTGTAGCATTCGAAGCATGATATTAACACTTGTATAATAAACCTATCAAAGATGTATGATTTTAAATGCAATTGAAAGCTTAAGTAAAGCTATATAGCAGCAAAGAATTATAAAATATTTTATAATCAATAAAATTTTGTAGTCTAAAATTACAGGCTTTTATTACCTGTGACGTTAAGAATTAAATATTATTACAGAATTTTAAACATAATCTCGATGCTTTACATTATTTCAATTCTTATAGTATTTTTTATTATGTTTCTCTCCCTCTGATTAATTTTTATTAGTAAAATAATATACAAAACGTATTTCTTTATCGAACTTTATAACGGGAATTATTTATTTAGATAAACTTGTTTTCTTCATGCGTAACGCTATTTATTAATATATATATATATATATATATATATATATATATATATATATATATGTATGTATGTATGTATGTATGTAATATCGAAGCCATTATTAATTGCTTTATTATAAAAATAATTAATATATAGAGAAAGAAACAATGTTAAGTATGAATTATTCTAATGACAAAAATAGGGACAAAATATATTTTCATAACAAAAATATTAAATTATAACGTCTCCATACGTCTTTTGTAGAAAAAAAATTGTTTTTTATTATAAAAGTTTATTATAACATTATCAAATATTACCAATATAAATACAACAAATTATATCAAGAAATTTATAAGAAATAATTTCACTGAAATGGATTACATCGACTATTTGAATAAATTCAAATTTTCAATAAGACAATCATTCGCAAACATTTGATGTTGAAAAACTTTTTTAATATTTTTTTCTGCCAATATTATATTATATTCTTTTTGCTAATATAAAATATAATTTAGCATTAATATAAGCTAGAGTTATCATTATCAAATTTATAATACTCTTGTGAATGCAGATGAAAGTAATATATTTTTAGTATTTTTATTTTCTTATATCTCCGTTTCTTATATTTATTTATAAAAGTAATTTGCGTTTCCCTCTGCTCACTTTATTAATGAATATTAATAAAAATTTATAAATGAACATTATAATGAACATTAATTATAAATTATAAAACACTTTAATTATAAATGCAAAAACCCCTGCACTATTATTATTCTATTATGATTTTAATTTAGCAATGAATTAAGGAACAATATTCTTCAACATCCAATTATTATCGATTAAAAATTTGATGAAAAGGTGGTCCTTAAGCATTACCTTAAAATTAACAACTTATTCGACAATAAAAAGTTTGCAATAACAATAAAATATTTGTAATTTCAAATACTTGATAATAAATAGTATAGATAAGAAATTCTTACTTATATATGAAAAGAAAAGCGAAAAGTATGATAAAAGCACTGCAAATAATTCTCAGAAATCACGAAAAGGAGCATTAACATTCGATATGGCTAAATAAAATGTTTATTTATTATCAAAATTCATATAATTAAGTAAGTATAATTATCAGTGTACATAGCAGTAGATTTATTATTTTACTTTTCCACGTTTAAAATTTTGGCAATATATGGCATTCTAATATGGTCATATATTCAATGAAATTATAAATTTAATACTATCGATAACAAACAATATGCATTCAATGTTTGAACTAAAAAATTTTTTTTTCACATTATATTACCTCGAAGTATCTATAAAGTGAGAAATTTATTAATTGGAAAAATGCATTATCAGTAAGTTGCTTTAGCCAGTATTCATTGTGAAACTAATACACGCATAAACATTACGTACTTTACAATTCAACGTGTCCGAGGCGCATAACAGTCGTTCGTATTTTATCCAAAACATACTTCAGTAAAATTAAATGCTCTAATAACTTTTTTTTTTCAAAGCAAAAATTGTCTATACTTACACAGTTTAAAAATCTCTAGAAAATCCACCTTAAAGACTTTAAACCTCTTTTACGTAGCGTCCGAATATTTTATAACCATTAAATTATACATTTTACAACTTTAACATAACTATAAGCATAAGCATAAATCTAAATATAAACATGAAAAATGAAGGAATTTACATTTTACAGCAGAAAAAAAAAAGAAAAACGATCGAGTGCTATATAATTTATTAATCACAATTTCCTCAAAACAATCTCGATCGTATCTATGGATACGACATTTGATAATGAAATGCTTCCATTATCTTCAATATTCTATTAAAGTTCCTTTCTCATTTGCATTTTCATTTTCACTTCCATTCTCATTTAATAAGTAAATAAAACGAGTGTTTGCCAATATTCTTTTGACGCAGGCAAATTTTAAGCGCATAGGGAAGAAGTCAGGCGTCGAAGATCCCGAATAATTTCTGAAGAGTCCCGTGCGCAACCGAGCCGCTTGTCCCGCACTTTTGACCAATTGACTTTGCTACCATTGAGCTGGGGGCGATTAAAAAGGAGTGGCAAAAAATCAAAACCGCAAAGGGGGAGAGAGAGTTGGAAGAGGGATTTCGTCGCCTCCTCATTAAAGCTTGTTAGCGCGTGCGTCTGACCTTCGAATTCATAATACAACTGCTTCTCTCTCTCTCTCTCTCTCTCTCTCTCTCTCTCTCTCTCTCTCTCTTTCTTTCTCACGCCTCGCGAGCTTTTCCGCGCTTTGAAATGCAGTGGTCCTTCGATCCCGAGCCAAAGCCACGGATGTTGCGAAAGTGAAATCTCGCACAGAGATTGTGATTATTTAGATTCAAAGAGATTATTATGTTATTTGGATGACGCAAAATTTTTTGAATACATAAACGGTCGATTAATCGCACCTTTAATTGATACAATTATGTGGTTCTTTTACCCCTCAGCTTTTCCGACGCTTGCTTAACATGTTATTTTGGGCACTTGTTTCGAGGCTCGAGATATATTAATAAATATATTATCCAGAAATTAATGCATTTCAGAAACTGCTTTTCATAAACATCATTAGATATTTCGACTTTTATTCTACATATGCTCATGTCAATAAATACATAATATTTATCAATAAAAAACTTAATACCAATACTCTTCGTATTTCTTGTTATCGTTTTTAGACTTAATCCCTATCTTATGTTGTAAAAGAAAAACTAATAACAAAACAATAATTTAATTACTAATACGCCAGCTATAAAAATTATAAGCCAGAATATATTAAAGCACCGAAACCCATTTTAAATAATTGATTTAAATATATATTTTTTTCATGCTCGTGCACCAGTTACATTATTCAATTTGCAAATCACAAATGAAATCGTTAATTAACCAATGAATATATCATTTTTTTATTTATTGAGTTTAAAAATAACTATACGGGTGCGACTCGTGTCACAATGAATGCATAGGTGTATACGTTTTTGTATCTCAACTCTTTCGATGGCTACTCGATGTAGAACGATAAATAAAAACTGCATAATCATTCGACTACGTGATATATCATTTGCACGTTTTGGTGAGCATGCATTTACAAAAATCAATACCGAGTGGACTTGCAGAGAAGACTCTTACGTAATAATATTCGAATTAAATTAAATATTGATAAGTCAATGTGAGGATAGTGGAATAAAATTATTGCATTAGTCGTGATTATCTATTGTAATTCAAACCTTTACGAGTTAATTTCTTATCGGGCTGCTGTATATTAAAAATGTTGCTTGTATATTAAAAAAAAAAAAAGAAAAAAAAAACTTACGACAAAGGATCATTATACAAATATTATCAAATTACTAAAGTTACTTTAGTATTACTCTAATAATAATAATAATAGTAGTAGGGGTAGTAGCAGTAGTAATAAAGATTAATTTCTGTTTTCATCGAAAATTCCAGCTATATCGAGGCGTGAAACATTTCCTTGAAGAAAACTCGAGAGTTTGTGTTTTAGTGTGAGGTCGGGAAATAAGGAAAACATTTACTTCAATACATAAAGACATTTGTATAGAGAATAAAATAATGAAATAAGCAACGAGACGGAGGAGTATCCAGCCGCCATAGAAAATACATTATTATTATTGCGATAATTACCGTTATCTATTTTGAAAATGACATCGATTAACACACGCATAACCACACTCGTGTA